TTATAGATTTATTTCATATGTAAAAACTGCTCTAACTACTGCCACATTCTCCAGTAGAAATATAATGTGAGCCACATGTATCATTTTGAATTTTCTAACAGTCTCATTTAAAAAACTAAAAGGAAACAGATGATATTTAATAATGTTTTCTTTAATCAAATATATCCAAAATATTATTTTAGCATATAATCAGTATGAAAATTCTTAAAGAAGTGTTGTACCTTCTTTTGTTTAAGACTAAGTTTGTGAAATTTAGTGTGTGTTTATAGCACATCTCAATTTGGACTAGCCACGTTCAATGGCTCAGTAGCTACTTGTTGCTAGTGGCTCCTGCATTGGACAGTACAAATAGTGTATTAACTAAAGAAGAACCTTTTCTTCTAAGCTAGCAGCAGATTAAGAATGCCTGTAAACAACAGGTATGATTTTCACAAATTAAGTGTGGCATGTCATACCTTAATCTCTAGCTACATTTAGTTCCAGTAAGTCAACTTCCTAATTTCCAGATGCTTCAGATCCTTCAAACCTAAGGAATATAGGGAGAGGAGGAGTTAGGGATAGTAGATAGTATGTGTAGATTCCTTCAGCATTACAGACTCAGAATGGCTTTTACTGTCTCATAGTTTATCATGAAGGTTGGTGAATGTGGACTTTTTGAAGGAGAAAATACACTTTACCATGTAAAGCATATATTCCAAGCCTCGGGCCACACGTGGTATGATCCCTCTTGCACTTGAGCCACCGGGAAGCACTTTCCAGGGGTTTTAGCACATCCCCTTACTTCAATCAGATGTGGTCCTGAGAGCAGAAGTATGTGAACTCTGTTGCATTTCATACCTTCTCAAGTCTAATATGACATCTTATTGTCTCACTCAGTTTCAAGGAAGCTGGTGATAACTGTCACTTCTTCAACTCAAAGTCTGGCATTGACAGATCAGAGATTTTTCTTTTTGAGATTTATCTTCAGGATCTTCAGAATTTATGGAAGAACTTATTGTGATAATATTGTCCCTTTTAAAAAATGTTCTTATTTAGACTATCCCATGGTTATCAAAAGACTTGAAAGGAATTTCTCATAATTCTGACCCACTTCTGTAAAATATTGCTATGAAGAAATTCATAGGACTTTTGAATAAAAAGCTGAAGAACACAGTGATGTATAATCCATACGTGTTTTGTTCTCTTTACCTTTCTTTTGATCATGAGCACTGCCTGAAGATGTGTTTGCCTGGTCTGCTTTTCTCTTTTCACAGTAAACAGTTAACTTACATATTGAGAGTATCTGTTTCCTAAACAATGACACTTGTAACTATTTCCAGAAGGTCTCTTCATATCCTTACTGATTTCTTTGCAGTGCAAGATGCTCTTTTAAGATATTTTTCGATTTGCTTTTGATTTTATATCAGGACAATATATATTTTATATTATTTACACAAATAAAACTTAACATGTCTCAGAATAATAGTCACTTCTGTTATCCTTGTGTAACTCTGATTCCTCTTCCTCTGAGATGACCACTTTCATCTCTTTTGGTGGTTTCTACCGTCGTTTATTTTTATCTTTCCAAATGACATTTTTATATTATTGTTCTATTATTTTTCTTATTTGAGCATCATCTGTTGACTTCTTATCATAGATGATGAGGAATTAGTGTTTTTACACAGACCAACACACACTTCCTTCTTTCTATCCTTCCAACATAATTATCTCCAGGTCTACATTATTAAAACTGAGGCACATAATATATTACGATTTACATTTTGGTTTTTCCTAGTGTACCTTCCTTTTCCTTTTTGTTTTTCCTGTCTTGGGTATCTGTTCCCAGATTCCTTTCTACACCCGTAAAATTCCTCCCAGTATCATTACTACTGTAAAATACATCAGCCCTTATTAATTGCCCTCAGATAATCTGTACATCTGCTTTTTTTCTTGGAAAAATTAATTTCCTTTCTCTGCTAAGTAATGTGTACTTAGTCTCTAGGTTGTGTCATCCTTATGGTTCCCTTCACCACTCACCTGTGATAGAGCTCCTATTCTCTGGATCCCACATCTTCTTTCCAGGTTTACCTCTTCGTTTTATAGAGTATACCCTAGTAGCTTCCTGAGAGAGTTGCTGAGTGAGGTCCTTTTTGTGGGGGGATTTTGCATTCAACTCCCATATTTGATTGGTAGTTTAGATACAGAATTCTAGATTGGTAATCATTTTTTTCCCCCTTAGAGTTTTGAAAGCATTACTCAAATTGTCTTCTAGTTTCCTGTGTTGCCTTTAAAAACTCCAATGTCTTCTGATTTTTTGATTCGACAAGTGATTGTTTTTGGCCTTTCTAAAAGTTTTCAAGATGTTTTCTTTCCTCTAGTGTTCTAAACTTTAAAAAAAGAGTATTCATATTACCATCTAAGCACCAAATGATGGATTTAGTCTTTTCGCAAGAGCGAGGCAAGAAAGAATGATTATAAATGTTACCTAGCAGTGCTATTGCTACCCTGGTATTTGTAGGACTCAAAGGCTTTCCTGTTTATTTCTTACACTGGCTCAACATTTTATTAAATTAAATAGGAGATTCAAGCTGTGGTTCAACACAAGAGAAACTTTCTTGGTTTATTTTAGCAGATCTCTCAAGATTCCAAAACTAAAATTGGTGCCAGATTTTACCCACTCGATAGATTAAGTAGTTCTGGACTTTGTAAATGAAGGTGAGAGAGGTATTTGCTGTCTTCATTCTCTTGCATTATACTATCCTAGTTTGATCCAGTTGCCTTAGACTAAGCAAATGATTCCATACTCAGCTTTACATTGAAATATAACTTATAATATCACCTAAATATTACTTATCAGCCGTTTCCTTTTATTTGTAGTGTCACTTGGCTTTTGTTTTTCATCCTTATTATTAAGAAAGATTTTGAACCAGGCTTTGCCATTAATTCCAGAAATCCTTTTTTAAATAAGGCCGTGAACACTGAGCTCGTGTGGCAGACTCTAGTTTCACTGCTGGTTTCCGATAAAGTTATGAAATGAGTTTCACAATGAAATATTATGAAAACTTGATTCTCTGCATTATGATAAATTACTCATCATTTTCTCCCTAAAAGTTTTTTATTGATACAGCCACAAAGCTATTTTTACCCCACGCAGATGTACAAGTAAAGTTGTTTGCTTGAAATAGATTCCTGGGAAGTTATTTCGAATTAACTGTTTGAGCCTCAATTCAGATAATAGAAGCCTCTCAGGAGACTTCCAAGAAACAGCTTAAGAGTGGGAGAGGGTAGACTGCACAAAGACATAATACTGAGTGTTCCACAAGTAGCTGATGAGAAACATTTTCAACTTTGTGTGTTAACAATGTTTCTTTATGCTTCTTTATACTTACAGCAATCTGTATTTTAGAATCCCATATTACTACAAGTATGGTCATTCTCATTCATTAGAGGGTTTGAGAAGACTGAGCTAATCATTGCATCCATCTCTTACTTCATAATCCTTCTTTTATGTTTAGTTTTCTTTGACTCTGAAGAAGCCACCTTGGCCTTTGTTTTGACTGGCATCGTCCCTTGTCTCTCTGCGTGACATTCCTTTAAAAACCTCCGCTGTACTCTGCTGTTCATGGCAAGTCAACAGAGGGAACAGAGATTTCAACAGAGAGCGGTTTTTTTGTTTTGTTTTGTTTTGTTTTGTTTTGTTTTGTTTGATACAGCTAAACTGCCCTGCATAAAACAGAACCTTACTTATGGGAATAGATCACAGTATTTTATAACTGTGAAGAACCACAGTTCTCTGAGAAGAATGAAAACTTTTCTCTTAGCATGAATGTAACGTACATCACCAAAATGTGAAGTTTTTCCCAACTCTCATTTTTTAAAGTTTAGAAAAATGAGAGAGCAAAAGATTTATCAACTGTTTATTAAGAAGAATGTGAAATAATAGATGCTGTTCTTCCAAAATGGGGAGAAAAATCTGACTTATCTTTGACGGATTTCAAGTTCTAGATTTTTGAAGGTAAAGTTGTCAAAAAGGCCTTACAAAAGTGGACCGCAGTATAATTGAGTTTCTCAGATAAAAGAAAAAATTCTTAGGTATCTTTTCCTGATATGAGTGTTCTGAAAATTGGAGAATGGTTAAGCAAGTCTTGTTCTTTTGTTTTATATATTTTTAAGAGGAAACACTTTATTCTTAATCCTCTAGTTTCGTAAGAAGTTGAAGAAGGAAGTGCTTCCAATAACCTGATGACTCAGTTCTCCATCCTGCTTGAACTCCTCTTAACATCTCTCCTGTCTTACGTGAACTCAGCGTTCTGTAGGATTCTGTTTGACTTTCCGAGAGATCAGCATCCGCCTCTCCAGAAGCCGCGTTTTAAACTTGCGTGAAACATCAGGGGTGGGGATTGCTTGGTCGGCTAATAAACTGGCTCATTCTTAGCCAGACCAGTCACTTACATCCAGTTGTCATTTTTGGTTTTCTCATATGAGATTATGAGAAAACCACACATTCTTGAAATGTGAGGATGCGTCACTTGCTTTTTAATGTCTCTTAAGAAATTGTTTGCCAACAATTGTCTCTGAAGAATATAATCTGAAAGATCATGCTGTTTACTGCACTTTACTCATCTCGGCTTCACTGCCGGAAAAGAGAATGTTTTGATATTCAATCTAATTATCATTTCATCAAAGCTGGCTTCATGCTTAGAGAGTAGTTCGAAAACAACTTTGTACTTTTAAATAATCAAGCCCTTGCCCCCTCTGCTGTCTAACACAGTTTTATTCTCTGTTACAGAGAGCAAATTCCTCACGTTTATCTTGCTTGACTAACTTGACGCTTGGCTCTTAATAATATACTACTTCAGCCTCCTTTACTTCTTTTCTTTCCTTGCTTTCTTTATTGTGTCCTCTGTGACGATATCTTGTTGGATTTGCTTCTGATGGGAAGGACATTGAATAAGTAAACAGCCCTTCCTTAAAGGGTTAAGTAATTAATCTACTTCACCTAGTCTTCCATCATTTTCTAGGACAGTCTCCGTAAGAAGGATGACAGGATTGAAGAGCTGGAAGAAGCACTAAGAGAAAGTGTACAGATAACTGCAGAGCGGGAAATGGTGCTAGCACAAGAGGAATCAGCCAGGACCAGTGCTGAAAAACAGGTCTGCTATTTCATACAGTTCCAAGCAATGCTGCTGGTTAACCAAAAGGTAAAACACAACCAGTATAGTTTAGGTAAACTACACATATTGTATGTTTATAGGGTTTCAAAAGCACTTCATAGAATGTAAGTCCCAAGGAGTTCCTTCATAGCGGTATTAGATACAAGGATATGGTTTCTTTTGTGTCAAGTATAGAAAGAAAGACCAACTTTATTAGCAAAGCTGAGAGAGAATTGAACATTTCGCAGAATGAGTGCCTTTCAGTACCCTGTTCCTAGATAAATGCCTTGTCTGCTGTTTCTTAAATAAGAATCGAAATAAAGTTGTATGAGAATTGACTCATGTTAACACAGCAGTCTCTGCGTTAATAACTTAGGTCTGATCCCATATATATTTATGTAGCATGTGCTAATATATTGGATGAGATGAAATGGAGCTTATCTGTCTGCTACAAGACTGGGCACAACCCTGGCTTTTAAATGGAAAGAAAAACGCGAACTTTTTTTTTTTTTTTTTGAGACGAAGTCTCGCTCTTGTCCCCCAGGCTGGAGTGCGATGGCACTATCTCAGCTCACTGCAACCTCCGCCTCCCGGGTTGAAGCGATTCTCCTGCCTCAGCCTCCCAAGTAGCTGGGATTACAGACACCTGCCAGCACACCCGGCTAACTTTTGTGTTTTTAGTAAAGTTGCGGTTTCACTGTGTTGGTCAAGCTGGTCTCGAACTCCTGACCTCAGGTGATCCACCCACCCCGGCCTCCCTCCCAAAGTGCTGGGATTACAGGCATGAGCTACCGTGCCTGGCAAAAAAAAAAAGACACAAACATTTCTGACTGAAAAACGTTAATTCCAAATAGCTAATAGTTTATTCATTTCATACCCTGCCTCACTGAAGAGAAGAGTTGAGGTTGTAACAAGTTGAGGTTAATAGTGAGTGTGAAGGACGTAGAAACCATACACTGGAGTCCCGGATAAGCCTGTCGCAGCCTCGGAGGGGCTTGCCAAAGAGTTCTGCTCGGCAGTTTGTGGTGCTTGTTTGACGTATTTCCTGCATCTTTTAAGATCTCCGTACTCTTGCTTTTGACTTTTCATTGACTTTTCATGAATAACTACAGATGGGAAGTGTGAATGGAAGAAATAGTTTTAACAAGTGAAGGTTATGATCCCAGCTCCCATTATGAGAATGTGATTTAAGATTTCAAATCCATCTGACACATAGGTTCATAGCACTTAATTTTGCAGTAATTGTTTCCTTTCCATTTCTTAGTGGGAGAAATATAAATGTTAAAGAGGAAAAAAATGCTCAATGAGAGGGTGACAGGAATCTTTCTAGGAACCCCTTGGTCAGACCACTGGTGTTATTTTGAGTTAAGGTAGGTACAGTAAAGAAGGGCACGTTTCCAAGGCAGACATAGCGTGTTCCCCAGGGAGCCCCTTCATAGCTCTGTGAGATGCAAAGACATGGTTTCTTTAGTGTCAAGTGTAGAAAGACCAACTTCGTTAGCAAAGCTGAGAGATCATTGAACCTTTTGCAGAATGAGTGCCTTTCAGTACCCTGTTCCTAGATGAATACCTCGTCTACTCTTTCTTCGGATACGTTCCTAATGCACAGTCACCTGGAGCTTGGGTAGTGGAGAACTCCAGAGAAGGGACGGTGACAGCCATTGTGTCACCCAAGGGTGGGGAGGAATTTTCTTTAATCTTGATTTTACCCTTTTTATATTCTCTCCTTTATTTTTCAAATAAAGGTTTTTCTTCTGCTTTGGCCTCATTATTTATTGACAAGTATTAAACATCAGAGATCATGCAGAGACTTTGGCAATTAATAATAGATCATGTCACTATGGGTTATAGACTTCTGTTATGTGTTTTCCTTTTTGAGGCTATTGTGTGAACTGATTATGCTTTAGGGGTATGTTTTATTTATGGTTAATAGACTTTGCAGTTTTTAGGTTTACAGAAAAATTGAGCAGAAAGTACGAAGAGCTTCCATTTACTCCTTTCTCTACCTCAGTTTCCCCTATTGTTAGCATATGGCATTAGTGTAGTATTTGTTAAAATTAATGAACCAGTTTTAATACATTATAACTGTGTGGTCCATAGCTTAGGGTTCACTTTTTGTGGCACACAGTCCCATGTGTTTTGCCAAATGTGTAGTGACCTGTATCTGCCATTACACTATTATACAGAGTAATTTCACTGCCTTGAAAGTATCATGCGCCACCGATTTATTCCTCCCCCATCTCCCCCGTCCCTGATCTTTTTACTGCCTCTGTAGTTTTGCCTTTTCCTTTACTGATAGTTGGAGTCATATAGTATGTAGCATGTTCAGCTTGGCTTCTTTCACTTAGCATCTGCATTTAAGGTTCTTCTTTTTGTGGCTCGATAGCTCATTTCTCTTTATCTCTGAGTAGTATTCCATTGTGTGGATGCGCCACAGTTTGCTCATTCCTTCAGCTGCTGAAGGACATCTTGGTGCCATTCAGTTTTTGGCACTTAGGAATAAAGCTGCTGTAAACATTCACATGCAGACTTTGGTGTGGATATAAATTCTCAGCTCATTTGGGTAAATAACGGTGAGTGTGATTGCCGGATTCTGTGGTAAGATCATATGGTAAGAGTTTTGGAAAAAGCTGCCAGACTGTCTCCCAAAGTGGCTATATATCTTTTGCTTTTAATTGCATGCTTTTTTTCCTTTTCTGTTTTCTCGTTTTCCGCCTTTCTGCTACTCACTGCCTATCTGAAGCTGTTGCGTGAAATATTGCATGAGACCAGTTATTTGAACTTTAAGTGGTTCGAGGTATGAAGAAATTGCTTTTACGTTTACACTTCTGAAGCCTTACAACTTTCATCTACTGTCCTCTCCTCTCCCATTTATTATTATTATTTTTATCTTTTCGTGTCTTTTTTTTTTTTTTTTGAGATGGAGTCCTGCTCTGTCACCCAGGCTGGAGTGTAATGGCGTGATCTCAGCTCACTGCAATCTCTGCCTCCTGGGTTCAAGTCATTCTCCTGCCTCAGCCTCCCAAGTAGCTGGGACTACAGGCATGTGCCACCATGCCCAGCTAATTTTTGTATTTTTAGTAGAGACGGGGTTTCACCATGTTGGCCAGGCTGGTCTTGAACTCGTGACCTCAAGTGATCCGCCCACCTCAGCCTCCAAAAGTGCTGGGGTTACAGGCATGAGCCACCGCGCCCAGCCCATCTGTTCCTGTCTTTTAGCTCCACTGTTAATTTTACTTATGTATGTTAATTATATGTACTGAGATAATCTGCAGATGTTCTTTTGAAATGCCTTAAATGAGGCTTTTTTGTTTAGGAACATTATTCTTATTTTCTTTCTCAGATTCAAAAGTTACCTGTTTCTCACTTAAATTTAGCTTCTGGGAAAGAATGACTTTCTCTGATAAAGGTAGGGTATCTACATCTCTTAATTCCTCCAACAGCAAAGTAAAATTGTATGGGAGCCATAACTTTATTAAAATAAGATGTAGAACCTTCCAAAGTTCGAACAAGGAAGAACTCCCATAAGAAAACATCTCTTAATGCCTTTTCTTTATTCTCACAGGATCCCCTTACAGTTTATTTGTTCCTAATACATGCTGCCCCACACTGAGCCCATGCTAGAAATTTAGAGAAGTTGTGTCATGACCTCATGAAGGAAGGTGCCCCCTCACCTGTGCGAGCAAATTGAGAGATGAAGTGAATGATCCCCACAGGGGAGAACCCCACAGCTCCTTTACTTTTGCTCTGTCCCTTTCCACATGGGGATTCTGTTTCTGGAACCTTTCTCTGTTTAACTTTTGGTGGGTTTTGTGTTTTATTGAATGTGTCTGTTTTCTTAAACTGAGCATAAACAAGGTCTCCTAAACAAGTCTCAGAATTGCCAGGGGCTAAAGAGCAGTATGCTTAGCTCAGCTATGATGTTATGAACTTTAAATTTTTAAATTTTCTTTTAGCATTTTAAAAGAATGATTTAAACATCTTCACTGGGTCAGGATGCAGTGGCTCATGCCTGTGATCCCAGCACTTTGGGAGGCAGAGGTTGGAGCACTGCTTGAAGCCAAGAGTTCGAGACCAGCCTGTACAACAATGCAAGGCCTCGTCTCAACAACAACAACAACAAAATTGTAATTAGCCGGATATGATGGGGTATGCCTATATTCCCAGCTGCTTGAGGGACTGAGGTGAGAGGATCACCTGAGCCCAGGAGTTTGAGGCTACAGTGAACCATGATTGTACCACTGCATCCCAGCCTGAGCAACAGAGTGAGGCCCTGTCTTTAAAAATAATGATAATAACGACATGTTTGCACATATGAATTTGATTTTTCTTTTAAAAGCCCCATTTTTAACCGTGATACTCAGTGATAAACAGTGGTATTTTTTCAAATTGCCATTTTGACATTATTTGGATTACAAAGTATAAATTATATCTGTGGTTTGCTAAGTAATTGTACATTAATGAGCATTTTTAAGGATTATGGTTTTTTTTAAACGTATAAAGTTCTTCATTGGCTGAAAATCTCCCCTGTCATTTATGCAGCAGTTATCACCAGAATAGCCAAGTTCATTTTCAGAATGAACAGTTGCCACTACAGAAGCAAAACTGGTGGAGGAGTGTGTCTGTAGAAGATGATGTGCACTAAC